CAGCACTAGCACCGTCATATCCCTGGCCTCGACAATTTTGAAGGGAAGCCCGACATCTTGAAGTGTACTTTGACTAATGAACGGAATCAAATCCAAAGGCGAAACAGTTTGGTATACAAATGAAAATGTTCTTGAATCATGTAAAACTTCAAATTTATTCAAGGTATGTTATATAATTAATAATGCATAATATATTTTCGAAATATTATAAATTTGAACTTAAAATCAGTGTCTACCGTCTACTTTTTTGCGTATTATAAAAGTAGCAAGCAAATTCAAATGACCATAAACCCGGCATTATTTTAGAAATTCGAAATTTTGACAGGATATAATTTTGTAGTTTTGATAGTTTATAAACCCCAACAGCCAAACAATTTTATGATACTTATCCCTATATTGATCATTAAACCCTATAGAATGTATTAAATTATCCAGAAAGTATAGGCTTGGAGTTATCATTAAAAAGTGCCTTGCACCAGGTGAACTATATTTATTCAAATCTATTTACTAATTATTGTATTTTACTAATTTTGTATTTACTAATTATTGTATTTACTAATTATTGTATTTTACTAATTTTGTATATATTCATGTGTATGTTATAGTGATAATATATAACAATAGAGTTGATGTTCGCGGTCATAAATGTGTTTTGGCCCGACTTCGAACTCATTTTAGCCCGAGCGTAGCGAGGGTTAAAATGTGTTCCGCGAGGAGGGCCAAAAACACATTTATGCCCGCGAACATCAACTCTATTACTATAATATATAATAAACTATAAACTATTATTACTATAATATATGTTCAACATCGTCAGCCTTCATCCCCTTAGCTCAGTAAGTCATGCGACATTCCATGTCAGTTCCAGTAATTGTTAATCTCAGACCTTGAAAGAAAAAAAAACAAACACTCCAAACACTCCAAACACTCCAAACACTCCAAACACTCCAAACACTCCAAACACTCCAAACACTCCAAACACTCCAAACACTCTAAACACTCCAAACACTCCAAACACTCCAAACACTCCATGTCTTCTGACCTGGATTCAAGTTTACTGCTTTTATCATCTTTTTTATTTCACGTTTCCATTTTGAACATGTCCAATTGCAAAAAAGTATCCAGCCGACTTAAAATAGTTTTATTTTTGCAGTTACTTTCCAGAATATACCGTTTGGTTAAGACTTGTGTATTATAGTATATCATAGTTTTAAAACTTCTTTTTCTGTCAATATTTTCAATAATTAGCTATCGAGACCATCCTCAGTTGTTCGGGCTGGAATACACAAGCGGTCAGCTGAGAAATTACTCGTCTTCCGACAGGTAGTTTAAAAAGCAGATTTTGTATGAAGCTATATAAAATATTTCTTGTTCTGAATGTTTGTATTTCACTCAATCTAGGGATATATCATTAGCTGGTTAGCTACACGGGGTTAGAGGCAGTGGAAATGGAGATGTTTGTGTAAAAACGACTCCAACGAAGAGACGGTACTGTACGCTTTTTCATAAATGATTGCGCGAAAATTATGGTCAAAATTTTCCTGATGAAAATCTCGCACTGCTATGATTGCCGTAAATACGAACCCTCATTTCATTCTCCTCCTGACGTATGGGATCTCATATAACACACAAACAATTACACTTCTCGTCAGGTATTCCTATTAGTCAGTGCAATACATCACATACAGCAAAAGAAGAATTGTTTTTTTAAGATGATATATTTTTCAAGGTTATCGTTGGGGTCCATTGTATAACGTTGTTGACGAAGAAGTAGAAAGCAGTCATTTAAAATTCCTCGCTGCGTCTCCAGGTGAAATATTTCTCTTTTTATTTCACTTTAAATTTTTGAAATATCTCCAAAAGCTTATATTGTCTTACTACTGGTTCCTTGCAGGAAATTTAACCGAAGATGTGTAGAGATTTAACTGCAATATTTCCTACAGCGGTCTACTTCATGCAGTCACCCAAGACGTAAGTTTACAATTTCTTATTTTGTACTTTTCTGCAGACAAAATCCTGTGTAGAGAATATTATTGCATTTTTACTGAGTTTTAATGCTCTGTCAAAATCTGGATTAAGGCTCTTTTCCACTCACGTGTTTTTCATACACACGTTAGTTTTCTGCTTATTTTAGTATGCATTAGTTGACCTAGATTTACAACAATATTCGTTATAAAGGAAGCGAGAATAATTTAAATTGGCAGATTGAAGCTTATTATAATCATAACCATGTACGCACGGACTCGAGTTTACTTGATAGTCGATAGCGTCGACAGCAAATGACATTGAAACGTTTGTATGGATATTTCGAAGTCCTGACAGTATAATTAATATCCCGTAGGTTATTTCAAGCAAATATTTGACTAGCGACGTCGAACAAGGCCAGTTAACCGCGTCGTGGATCGTAAACTGACCTCAATACAGAAAGTGGGGACAAAATAGCCAAAATACAAAACATTTTGTTCTAGGCCTCTCAGTTCCCGGCTCGCCGCGTATAAGAACGTTAAGAGGCCTAGGGACTACGCTGCGGTAACTCTGGTTGCTGAGTTGACTGGGTCCGAATCCATGAAATGGTAGATTTGAATTTTCTCGCCAGAAGTACGGCTGGAATATTAAGTCTTTTAAACTCCAATTTATATTTCAAACGATTTTAAATATTTTGTAAGGACTTTTCCCGGAGAATAAAGAAAGACTTATCATTAATGCCATCACAATGCTCATTGCTCACGAAGGTATTGTATATCTTTGCCAATAAATATATTTAGTGTTCACCCCTAAAATATACATATTCTGACTGCTATTACCTTCACAGGTATTCAATATATACATAAAATAGTTAAAATGTTTCGTCTATTTGCAGGAGACCAAAACAAAATATCAGATAAAGATCTCAAAGCACTGTTTCACGCTTTGAGACATTAGGTTGGATCCAAAGCAGGTTTCACAACGCTTACTAGGTGAGAAACGTTTATCTTTAACCACAACACACGCTGTTTACTCAACCAGCTCACTTTCTCTAGACCGTGTTTCTGTTTTGTTTTTACAGCTTCTATGAGAAGGTTGGTGTGAAAACTGTGAAAGCTTTGAAGAAGAATAATGAAGCCGTGACTCACGCCGCTGTCGACATACTGTGTGCTCTGATGCAGGTAAAGAGAGGGCTTTCCTTTAAGCGGCCAAAATGGTCAGACCGGTCATATTTAAATTTAAGATAGAGTATTTCGTTAAGAATATAGTTGCGAAATTTCCGAGCTAGACAGATGCAAGTAACGATATACTTGAACGCAGAGTTCTTGAAACACTCTAAAATACCAGTAATCTGTCTGTACCGAGATCAAAAATAGGACCGGTCTGGCCGTTTTTTCCGTATAAAGGAAAGCGCCAACACTTTAACGATGAATTTCCTGGTAATATGTTGCCAAATCTGTCACTGTCATTAGTGTTACCCCTTTAACTTGCAATCCACATAAACTTAGCCAACTTTGAAATCTGAATGTTAACAGGATCCAATTTTATCGAAACCAATTCTGTTTTTTATATAGCCAACGCACGATAACTATGACATTCGACAAGAACAGATAAATAAAAGCTCTTTGTTATCCTTTGAAAAATTTCTAAGCAGTTTGTTGGAAATTCTCACGATAAATGTTGTAAGATGTGCGGTGTTGGTTGCCTATAATCTATGCTGAACCCTTGCATTTTATTTTTCCATCCCTCTTGTATGTATATAGCTTTGTTTTAGAAGAGAAATTCCCTTGCAAAACCCAGCAAGTGATTCGTAGCAACTGCCTTTCTAATTTGAACTACCTTTCTAACTAAAAACAAGAAATAGATTAACCATGAAAACTTTTCTGCTATATTCGTTCTACTGGGGTTTTAGTTATAAGTGGATTGCTTGATTTTCTGACGTTTGCTCTGTGTCCTCCTTACAGGTTTGTTCTAGTTGCTTTGCAATATATTAAAATAATACGGGGGTGAAGTTGGACATTCATGTTAAACTAATAGTAAGGTGTGATTGCTTCCAATATTTGGAATCAACTCATGTAGTCTGTTACAATAAATCGACTATTGCATATTCCTCTTAGTGAGACAACAGATGATGAACGGTTTGGGAAATTACTGGAGAAAGTTGCAGGTATGCTACAAAGAAATTTGAGGAGCTTTTCATTCAACTTGTCTTCTTGGTAGTTTATGGCTCTTTGACTGAGGTTGAGAGTTGATTAAATAGCCTTTCTCTCTTTACCTTTTTGGTGAAGTTTACCACGTCCACTAGCTTGACCCATGCATAGGAGCAACTCATGAAGTCTGTTATTTGTTTGTCTAGAAATGGGTCATTGCGTTTATCGATTGTTCCAGGTAGGTTTACGACAAAACTAAATTATAGTACCAATTTTACCATTTCTTCGCTTATGTATGTTTTACTATTGCCCCGCTAATGGTTCTTACCAATCGTGGTTTTGAATTCGTTCCTCAACAATTTCAGCATCCGTCGACAACAATTGTGAAAGGTGCTGGCATGGTTCTGAAGGCTAATCGAGGTACGTTTTATTCATTCATTCATCCATTGAGAATTTTCTGCCTTTGACGAACGTCATTTATAACGCTCTGCATTTTTTTGCATTTTTAACTAAACCAACTATGAAAGCAATGTGCCTTCAGGTGAGGATGTCGTTTAGCGGGAATGTAGCCATGTGTAGCCTTCGAAGAATGAATTAAACAAATTGGAATATTTCATTCACAGGCGATGACTAAAGTTTATGGAAAATATCACGAAGAGATTGGAGCTTTTAATGACACCAAGCTAAGGATCATCTGTTATTGATCCAGTGTTACTGCAGAAGCCTGAACTAAACTAACTTTATTCATACTGTTTCGTATTTTTAGCATTTACATGAAAATGGCACCACTAACAGGGATTGGAAGGTAAGCACGCCCTAATTTATTTATCACTACTGTCTTTATATCCTAAACTTTAACGACCATAATTTAACTTTTTCTTCTCTAGCCAGAAAATGTTTTATTGTGTTCCTCGTATGACGAAACGCTTGTAAAGGTTTGTGTCGGTTGTGTATTGAACTTGTGTTTAAATTGCCCTTTAAATTGTATTTGAAGAAACCATTCGATGTGACCATTGCCAGCAAATCCTGGAAGTCACTATAATCTCAATTCCGATTTTTTGTCCGTGATTTCGTTTTACGAAAGCAGAGCGCATTCTGCAAACGTTTTAGGTTCAGTTATTTCTCATTGTTACAGTTTCTCAATGATAACAATTAATTTTTTAGATCAGAATTCCTATATGGAAACAATCTGTGGTACACCAAGTTACCTCGCTACCAAAATGTTAATCCCGTAGCCCGAAGAACGATCCTACAAGAAATCGTGTGTTATATGTTTGGTATGCCATATACTTCAGTTTACTCAAATTCACGTAGTGAACACGATTTGTAATGAAGCTGGAGGTAGGTTAAACTCATTTCAAAATTGGAGTACGTCAATGAAAAGTTAACGTGTTTTAGACTTTCCGGATCTTCTTTTTTTCAAAGCAGGCAAATAACCCATTGGAGAAACAAGTTAAAGAAGGGTCGTATAAATTTCCGAACAACCTCTGGAAGAATGTTAGCAGTGAAGCTAAGGATCTTATAACAAAACTGCTTACTGTTAGTCACAGAAAATGCATCACGGTTTCAGAAGCTCTGGAACATCCTTGGATGAAGGTGATGATGAAATTACTAACCGCCTTATAACACCCCGCATCTAAGATTTTTCAAAATCGGCTGACCTTTTTCGTCTGAAGTCCCAGCTTTTTCGAATTGTTAGAATTAGTTTGGTTGAAGTTTAGAACTGATACAGCTATCCAGCATAAATAAAGTCAGTTTAGTTCAGGTTTCCTCCTGTAGTAACACTGGATCAATACGGGATGACCCCTACTGGACCTCCATGAAGGACAATTTAGAACTGATAGAACTATACGGTATAAATAAAATTAGTTCAGTTAGGAGAGAAAGCTTTTAAAAGTGTTAGATTGATCCACGATTTAACAAGGTTTTTGTCTTTTGTAGGATAAAGAAATGATAGAAAAAGCAGAAAAAATGATAAAACCGACCGTGGATGGAAGATCAATGTCTCCGCTCTTATAAAAGGTATGTTGAAAACTACGATACTTGTCCCGTTCTTCCGTCCAATGACCCTTATTTTCAACTCGCAATTGCAATGAAACATTACATGTTTGCAAGTTACATCGAAATTTAACCAGCTTTCCGAAACAATCTCAAGGCGCTGTTACACTACGCAACTTTCCTTGCAAATTGCAAAACCATTCTACTCCTGAGGCATCTAAAGTTGTCAAATACGAACATCTATTACGATCTGCTAACGTTTCCTTAGTATTTCGAACACTCTTTACAAATTAACATCCTTCGGAGTTATAATTGCATTGCAAGTTGTAAGGAAAATTGCATATTGTATAGTAGCGCCTTCAGTAAAGTTGAAAACTCACCGTGCAATGAAACATTGCATGTCGGCAAGTTAAAAGGCAGAAAATTGTCACCGTACATGGTGAAGACTGGCCGACGGTCACGTTCAGCAGACGAGGCTCTGCGAGCAAATAAAATACTCAGTGGCGAAGCCAGCACGACAATTTAGCAGCATGACTGAAAATGCTTCATGTAAGATCACATCACTAGTTATTCCGATAAATAAAAGAACAGGGGCCGGTTGTTCGAAAGGTGGATAAGTCGTATCCAACGGATAACTCACTATCCAACGGATAAGTTTTATCCAGCGTGTGATTTGGGTTGCACGAAGCTTGTATAACTTTATCCAGAGGATGAAAATCGCTATCTACCGGATAAATTTATCCAAGGTCCGGAGGTGGTTTAAATCCACTATCCAGTGGATAAATTCAAAGATACAAGGAAACACTGTAAACATTTATATAAAATAGGACAAAAATGCAATATTCCTCTTACTGTGTTTCAACAAACTAATACACATCATGATTGTATTCACTATTAAAAAATGTTTTCGAAGTGCAATTTGTCGCAGCAGCGTTTCACGTTGCCTACACATTCCGTTCGACCGGCGATTTTTTGGACAACCTCGCATTTATAACAGGTGGTAAATTTACTATACGCTTCTAATCAGTTTATAAACGCGAATATGCAAAGAAAGATTCAACCTATTCCAAGGAAACTTGCTAATATCTAAGTAATTTCATTCACGAACATTAAAATAGTGTTTCTAAATTTGCTATTGGACCGAAAGGCAAAGCGTTGCAAGGTCAAGGAATAAAATTGCAATGTGTTTAATTAATAAAATCACTATGATGTGAAGTGCAAAGTTCGAGCAAATCACTTGTTCAAGCCTTTTCCATTCATAACTATATTCGAGAATTCGTAATGATTATGAATTCAATGTTGTAAATGCTTAGCAACAGCTGACGTTGTGGTACGAAATTTCAGAATAATACTGTTTTCTTCTGGTTAATTTTAACTTATCTATTGGGTAGCTATCCATTCACTATCCACGCTTCCTGCAACGCGTTTTTATCAAATGGATAATTATCCAGATTTATCCGTTGGATAGGACTTATCCGTTTGATAAGTTATCCATCTTTCGAACAACCGGCCCCAGTTCCATACCTATACTTTTGTACGTGTGAAACTTTTCGCTTGATTTTCTTTTAATTCTGAGAATCCGACCGTGCAGCAAACATTGAAATAAAGCGATAACACTAAACTTGATTGTGATAGCCCTGAGTATATACCGCTATAATAGCTTTGTTCCTCATAATGATATGCTGGATTCCTCGTCCAGGTATAACTTCTAAAACACGCCTTATTTTTACTTGTATTCCAATGCACCTAAGTTAGTAAAAAACCTGACAAACCCGCTGGTAGGGTGTAAAGAATTTATTTCTAAATCAAAAACTCGTTCTTACATAAGCCACTTATTGAAAAATTTTCGCTATATATTTCAGTCAGATGGATCTCTCAGTCATTTCTCATTCCTTAGTGAACAAATAGTATTTCAGTGAATTGCTAGAACATACCTGAAAAACAGCTATAAACTTCAATTCTCAAAGATATGTTGCGTACCATGTCTTTGGATGAATGCGGATGTAAAGCGCGGTTACAGTTGGTGATAGGACATTTTCCACCAGCGAGTCTCTAATGAAATGAATAATTTGTTAAACAATTAATCTTAATCACACATTAAAAGTTATATATGACCGCATGGAAATGATGTGATGCATATAACGTGACAGGGTAATCTGTAGAAGCCTTGCTTATTAATCCAGCTAACCCTGACAAGTCCATTTATTTTGTAATGATCGAATTTTTGCCGTCGGAACTACAGGACACAGAATAGGTCTTCACCCACTAATTATAATCACGACGACTTTGAGTGAAATCGCTCCGACAAACATCTTTCTTGCCGAATGCATTTGGTCCTGGTTATTTTTCCGTGCAGACCAGGAAGCTGCCTCATTTAAGCGACCATGTCCTGTCGACTTATCCGCATTCCCAACACTTGTTGCTATTATCTGGGATGTTATGTGTCTTCAGTACGTGGGCCAATAATTAGTATCAATTATCTTCTGGCACCAAAACACCATCGAACAATCATCAACAAAAATGAAATGATAATGCATATAATTTTGCCATACACGGCTCCTCCAGAATTAAAACCAGTCGAGGTACAGCGTTATTTCCATTGATTTTGTGAAATCTTTACTTGGGGGTTAACATCGAATTTTATCACATTCCTATATAGGGGAATTACTGAATAAAAAAATAATGTCCAACAGTCCTAATATGACATAATAATAAACTGAACATATACCATGTAGCCTGCAATATTTACCTTGCTTGGTATGTCAGTCCATCAAATCCATGTATGGCATAGCGATGGATGGAGGTGTAGTCAGTGATAAGAGAAAGGTAATAATTGTTAGCAACTCCTGGGTTGCCATACTTTATTTGATCTAAAATTGAAACACAAGGAACAAGTAAATTATTATATTATTGTCCAGGGTTGTGAGGCTATCAGCATTGTGATATCCCAGGTTCATGCGTACCGCTACCATGGGACAACATTCCTTAGCCAACAAATAGTATTTCAGTGAATTGCCAGAACATACCTGAAGAACCGCCATAAACTTCAATTCTCAAAAATATTTTGCCGTACCAATTCGACTCTATATGCCATAGAATCTACAATTGAGATTACAAAAATAACTATCACACAATTGAAACTATAATTGTATATGAATCACAAGGGCCTATACAGTATAGTAACAGCATGTATTTTTGACTTCTATAACACAAGAATATACAGAACAAAATGCAGGTTGTTTTCTTTCATATTCACATAATACCCCCACCCCTGACAGTTACATATATATTGGTAAATGCAATTACATAATAGGAAAGGGAGAAAAAAAATCTATTTTTTATAACACCAGTGAAATATTGTGTACGCATAATACTTAGCGCTATGACCCATGCTGTCATGTATCCATCACCAGATATCATGAAATCATCTTGGTTTTTTAATGTTGAAATTAATCCGTTTAATTTAAAAAGCACAAAAATACCACCAAAATATAGCTCGAAAATTTCTAATCAAGAAATTAATCAATATTGCTGTTAACCTGACACTGCAGTGCAGCTCTAAAAATCATATCAAATTACACAGGATTACAAAATGGAAATATAACTCGCCTTTGGAATTTCGTTATTTTCTTCGTTATTTTTTATCCTGTCGTCTTTTAACCGTTACATATAAACTGTAAAGGCATTAGTTATCTTTTCTGATAGGATTTAAGTCAGGATGGGCAGAAAAACTCGAAAAATATAGATTTTTTTATTTGTTATTGTGTATAGCGAGGCGTTGCTCAGCCGCATGCACAAGTGGTTGTCGCGTGAGGTTAGAGGTGTCAAAAACGTAATGTTGCCTACCCCGTGGGGGTAAAATAAGCCCAGAAATCGATTTCTGGGTAAAATTGTCCCTAGAGGTCATAATTGTCAAATTTTCGCTAATATGGTGATATTATTGCACATTTTCGGGTTTCCGTTTGTAAACACATTTGTTGGAAATATCACTACAAATCGCCAAAGCAACTGTATTTCGAGTAAAATATATGAAAATATTGATCCCAATGTAAGCTACAAATATTTGGAGGTTTTTAGGCGAGATTTTTGGAAGGCTTTGCGTATTTTTGCTTCTCTAACATTCAATTTAAAAAGTACAAGTTCTGCAATAAATATCTCTGCTTATAGGAAAGCTTTTGAAATGAACTAAAGTTATACAAATAGGTAAATGTTTTTTCTTTAAGATAATACAATTTCTAGTTGAATTGATAAAACACTTCCAGATAAAACCGAAATTATCTGTGTGCGCCGTTTACGACGGACAGCAATGAGTTTAGTGGTCTCATATTTATTAAAATGGGTGAAGTATTCGCAGAGTAATCACAAGTTTAAATGAGCTTACCACTTTGAAATATCCTCTGATCGGACGTCTAACTGAGAGGATCCCTTAAACATCGAGAATACTTCATTAACAAGTGCCGCATTCTGTCCTGTTTG